AGGTACAACTAAGTGCTAAGTTAACATCTTGTACAAAAACCTACATAATGTCAAAAAAAAACAGCATAATGTCAAAAAAATCTGCATAATGTCGCGTGATGCCCGTGCCGACTCTCCTACCGGTTTGTAAGACACCCCTCGCCGGTTCCCTCTTACAATCTTTCGCTGGACAGGTAATAAGCATATGCTAAATAGAATCGAAAAACGTGAATCAAGCACCATGAGCCGAACTGATCACTATTTTCAGTTTCACTTCTGTGTACAAGTATTATTCAGAGGTTTTTAGCAAGATTCTGCCATTTGACCCAAATTGGAATAAATTATGCTGATGAACTTTGAAGTACTGCTCGATAAAATCTAGTGTCACTTTCTGCTAACTTTTGCAAACTATTGAGAAATATAGCCTTATACAGGGCGATTCACAAGTCGTGACCAAAAATGAAATATCATACACAGGACCACATTTTAAGGGGGGTCTTCTGTGTAACAGTTTTTCCTCGAGGGCTCATTAAAAAGATACGAGGTGTTGAACTTTGAGAATAAGAAGAATAAGAATTTCTTTTGATATCTTCAAAACCGTCAGCTGGAATGAACTAAAATTTGGTATCTGGGTTTATCCAAGTATTGTCCACATTCTAAAGTTTTTACTTAAAATTAATACGTGCACTAGTGGCGGAGATGCAGAGAATTAGCGGAATTATTTTTACAAATAAATACCTTCAATACCTATAATTCATTTTACACTTTTGTTGCTGCTGTTATCATTGTAATTGCAGCTCCTGATGATGATGGCAAAGTCCATTGAAAGCTAGAGAGAATTAAAAAAAGTATAAAGAGTCCTCTTTGCTTAAATTTTGTCGAAGTACCCAACAAAAGGCGGAAGCTTTAATTTTTCACCTAACTGGTCTAGACGACAATGACCACGTCTCAAGTTATATATATATATATATATATATATATATATGCTGCCGAGAAGCCGTTAAAGCATTTCCATTACAAGACCCGTACACAAAAATAATACGGAGTACTTATCATTGCTAAATTCTTTTTCACAACACTTAAAAATTGAAAAAAGGGACTGTTTACTCGACTTTTACAAAAAAAAAATGGTGGTAGTAACGATAACAACCGTATAACATATAACTATGACAAACTGTTTCCAATGAAACGTCAAGTTGGTACCAAGGCCTGCTATTTTATTTTGAAACTAATTGTATCTCGGCTCTTCATGGATGACGTATTTTATTTTATTTTTTTACCAAAATAGTACACTCTAGGGGAAAACACAAGAGTATCTATTTGTAGCAATTTGAAGGTAAAATTCTGAAAACTGCGCGTTTCGAAAAATAAAATAGTGACGTACTATTTTTATTCGGAAAAATAATGCCACTAATCCCCTTGACCGTTTTGAAGATATTACAAAAGTATTTTTTATTTTTGAATAGCACAACGTATCTTTTTAATGAAGCCTTCGAGGAAAATATTTACTTATTTTTGATCACGACTTGTGAATCACTCAATATTATTGTAGGTAGTCAGATTCAGTTATTAAACTTTCAAGAATTTATCCTTGGAGACGCGTTCAAATAACCTACAGATGCCCTAAACCTAAAATACATTGCAGTTGGCAGGGACTGCACGGTCTCTCTTGAAATTATCCTTTATATGACCTTCAAATATTCTCATAGATATAGACTAGCTCCAGATTTAAAATCAGCAACCCGAAAAATGATGAATTACTGAAAATCATGCAAATTCCGTAGAAATTGTATTTTTGACAGCTTTGCAGTACAATAGACAACCTTGCGTCGTGCTGAAGGCTTTGGTAAAGTTCGAACAGCCTAAGGTTATGCCCGCTACGTCATCACTTCATACCCTCTCCCTTGCGTGGATTGTACCCTATAAGAATATAGAAAATTGTTGTGACAGTCTCTGGTAAGATTTATGGACATCTGTTACCGCCCTCTTAATGTGGTCCAGTACTAATCGTGGCGAATATTTATATCGTAGAAAGCTTAAAAATGTATGTGGTCTTCAATGTCCAGAAATTATGTTGCTGTTGACGCTGTTAAGGGACATCCCACTCTCAGAAAGCCATAGGCGGAACGTTTTTTAGTGCAAGTTTCAGTCAGTTGAGATTGTTGACACAATTGGGATCTGATGAGACGTTTCTTCGACTTATTTATTTTTTTATTTATTAACCATATCATTTTTATATTTGATTGTGTTGAAAATTATTAATCTTATGGGGTTTGTGGATATTTGATGGAGATCCATAAATCAAAATTTAAAATAGTGAACAGGTACCTACATATAATAGACACAATATTGAAGGGTAAAACCCCAAAGTTGGCAAACAACTGAAAGAAATTAAATTAATCCTAAGACTGTGATCCGCTTATATCTATACCAATCATGAGATTTCCTAGAGTGCATCATTAGTACCTAGATAAATAGGCTAATACCAATATCAAGCGTAGGTAAACAAAATTAGTAGAAACAAATCTAATAATAACAAGTGTAAAATTGAACTACCTGTAATAATTCCCGGTTGCTAAATCCCTTCGTTCGTAAGTAGCGTTAAGAGGATGAGTGTTAATCAATCACATTTATTTTACCTGCAACAGATATATAAACCTGTCCGTTAGTCATAAGTTCAGTTTGTAAACTAATTTGAACAAGGCACCGTGTGTAAAAATTGTCAAATAGATTGCAATATAGTGGAAATTTTTACTATTGATCAAATTTAAATTATTAATAGTTTTGAACCAGTGATCTAAACAATGTCTGTGAAAGAGATTGGCGTGAAAGGAAAGGCGATTGGGAGTCAAGGAAAGGAAATTATCAACAATGTCAATAATTTCATGGTACAGGAAAGTGTAGAGGGATTAAAGTTTCCACTTCAACAATACCGGTATGTATGAATGTAAAAGATTTTTATAATTATTGTCAATTAAAACTGATTAACCCATTTAGGAAACGTGTGTTAGCTGCCACGGGTATAAGTAAATGTACTTATCAAAAAATAGCTAAAGAGAGCAGAGATGGAATATATTCAAGCAACTTTTCATTTTCATCCCCATCTAAAAAGCGGCAACGAAAATCACCTGTTGTGGATAAAGTGACTGCAGGCCAAATTGAAGAAATCAAAGCAATCATATACGATTTTTATATTTTGGAGAAAAGAAGACCTTCGCTGAAATGTAAGTTTTAAAATTGTAACCGTAGCATCTAGTCATATTTCATTTTAAGATTTTTTTAGGTATTTACCAAAAAATGCAAGATCGACAACTTAATTTTGAGGGTAAAATAACGACTTTGAACAAACTTTTGAAACAAATGGGCTTTAGGTCAGTATTCATACACACTATAAGGTTTTCGATTTACAACGCTATAAATATAATTTATATCTACAGATGGAAAAGAACTACTGATAATAAAAGAGCTCTCATGGAAAAATATGAAATTCGCTTGAAGCGAATCGAATATCTGAAGCAAATTATGAAATATAGAGCTGAGAACAGGAACATAATTTATACGGATGAAACATATATACATTCTAGTCATACCCCAAAAAAAGGATGGTCAGATGACAATTATGACAAGGAACTAAAAACGCCTTTATCAAAAGGACAACGAATGATTATTGTGCATGCTGGTGGAGAATTCGGCTTTATTCCTAACGCCTTGTTGATATTCAAATCAGGTATTATTTGTGTTACAATGATGTAAAATATTTCCAATATATTTTTACATTTACTGGATTATATGTATGTATTTTATTTTCAGGCTCAAAATCTGGGGACTACCACAACGACATGAATCATTTGAACTTCATGAAATGGGTAGAAAGCCAATTGATCCCAAATTTGCCTGAAAATTCTGTGCTTGTAGTTGACAACGCTTCTTATCACAATGTCCTGGAAGAAAAAAATGTAACGTCTTCTAGCCTGAAATCAGAGATGATTGACTGGCTAGAAAAACATCAAATTCCTAGTGAAAAGTCATTGACTAAGGCCGAACTATATAAAAAAATACAGGAAAATAAAAGAAGATTTCCAGTCAAATACAAGCTAGATGCCTTAATGGAACAGCACGGGCATAAAGTTTTACGACTGCCTCCATATCATCCGGAGCTAAACCCAATCGAGAAGATTTGGGCTCTCGTAAAAAACTGGGTTGCTCCACGAAATGTGACATTTAGGTTGTCTGATGTGGAGCATCTGACCCGTAGCAGGTTTGAAGAAATTGGAGCAGATGAGTGGAAGAAAATTTGTAACCACGTGAAAAAATATGAGCAAGCACAAATGGAAAAAGAACATCTTCTCGACGATCAAATGGATACGTATCAATTCAATGTGAACACAGAGTCATCATCAGAAGATAGTGACGAAAGCGACTCAGATGAAGATTTGAAGCTAAACACACTATCATCTGATAGCGATTAGATTTTTTAATGATAATATATAATTTGAATTATAACCGTCTTTAGTTTGCTCCCTCTTCTAATTCAAATTTGCTTCCGAACAACTTAATGCGCATACTAAATGAATATAATAATACAAAAATCAATTAATGATCAATGTCTACACAACCTATTCACTTTATTTTATACTTCAAATAAAATAGAACGCCACTGCGCTCTGTCGACGACCGCGTGATGAGCGGACCCGCCCACGATGACGTAGCGGTCATATACTAAGAGCGTTCGAACCATAGCCCGCTGTCGCATCTTGGCAGGCTGTTCTGATTCGGTTCTACAAGATGTGGGCTTGGTTAACGTCAAGAAGTGTCAGGTTGGCTCCGGTCATCCCCTCCATCCTCGCTAAAGGATCGTCCCGCCCACTGCAGCGCAAAGGTACGACCAGCGTCCGTCAAGGCGTACTTAATCATCAGTCGTGCTCTGACTACCGTTAAGTACAAGCCGCAACGCTTTAAGTGTCTGCCACTGCGGAACAAGTGCTCGCTGAATAGTTGCGCGATTTCAACGAAAGTGTATGATGTCGGTGGTGAAGACGAGTAAGCAGTCGCTAACCGCTCAGGAAAAGTGGGACGCTATACTGAGGGTGAATGCTGGCGAGACAAAAGCCTCGGTGGCAAGGGATATCGGTGTTCCAGAATCCACCCTGCGAGGATGGTGTCGGAACGAAGACAAAATATCATACCTCTGCCGAAGATCCAGCTCTGACGTAAACGATGCGGTTAATGATCACACCATTTTCAAGAGGGCGAAAACTGAAGATCAACCTTTAGATCAACGTCTCAGATCTAACGGAAATCACTCTGCTGAACCAGGAACCAGTGTGAACACACCGCCTTCTGGAATCAATGAATCAGACGCCTTCTACTGGCAGCTGGCATATTTTAACATGTTGACGCATTGGAACATGTACTCGTATATGACCACGCAAGCTAGTCAACTGTTTCCTGAACCTGTCCAAGTATCTGTCCAACATAACGCTGAAGGTAAATTGACCAAATCTGAGGCCGTGGAACATGGTGAGAAGTTCCTCCAATGGTTGGAAACCTGCAATGATCCTTCAGTGACTGACGTGCAGATTATGCAGTTGAAAAAATTTCTTAACAACGTCAAATCAGGCGCTAACCGAAAGAACGAGCATCTGCATGCTGAAACCAAAGTGGAAACACAGTGATTTGTAAATATCTGTACATAAATAGTCCTTTTAAACTTTAACTAGACAACTGTTAGGACGGCCGCATATAGTTGGTGTTTCATTTCGGAATAGGCTAGGAATATCTGATGACCCTGGGCTATTCCAAATCGGAATTCCAGATGTGTGCGACCGTCCATATGGCCACTCAGAATACCGTATACATAAACGTGTCAATATTTCGCGAGATCTGTCTCAAATATGTTTAACATTTCACAATGATTTCTTGTTGTTCTTTGCTGTCAAAACCTGTGTTCCCTGCCGATTTCAAAAGGTTACCTGCTCATTACACATTAATCAGTTCGAAAGTATACAGTAATGTGAGTGAAAATAACCTTCTATCAAATGTTACAAAAAATAAGTTTTTTTATAATTTAATAACTTTTAAAAATATACATTTTTGAATCAATTTGTGTTGACTCGAAATTCGATAATGTATATCTTCTGTATCGTTCAAATTTCAAACGATGGTTAGATTTGTTTTAAACTACCAAAGTTTTGAATTAATTTACCTTTTTTTTGACTAATACTTTTAAATTGTCTTCGGTTGAATCAATCGGAAAGTCGTATACTTGTAAAATGTATCATCTGTATCTGTTCAAGTTATAAACATTGCTTATAAGAGTTGTGAGAATAAATTGTCTCGCCAATCAAATGTGTCTTTGATTACCTATTCTGCGGCATACTTATTTAAATCGCAAAAGAATTCAAAAAACATCATTCCCAGTTGAGCCAAACACCACAGATTATATTCGTAGGTATATTGTGATTTTAAGCCACAACAAAGTGCAAAAGCCATAATTCAACAGAAATATCAACTAATTTAACATCAAATAAATTTCAGGATTTGTTTATATCCTAGCTTTGATATACAGTGCTTTTCAAAAAGGCTCATACTTATTTCTTGAATATTCTAGGTTACATAATTCTACATTGTTTGAATAACAGATGTTTATTTGAAAACTCCTCGAGTGACACATGTGTGGTATCCGTCAACCCTTCGTCCCAATCCATGCTATTCAATGACAACACAACAGTGTGTCGTTGTCAGCGGCCACTTTTTGAGGGTGCGGCATGGTTGCCAGATAGTGCATTAATATCCCGTTTGACCCCCCTGGTCCCAGTGGAGTAGGCTCCGCCAACTGTTGAAATATACTCTACTATGCTTTATAAGACTATTCGTGGAATTTTTCCCAAAGTCGTTGCACAACACTTGAAAAAATGCAAATGAAAATCTAAAATTATTTCCATGACGCCCCAAAATAGCTGCGTCGGTACCTCGGGTCATACATCTTGAGAGTAAGGATGTTCGATACGATTCTATATTTAGAAGTATCGATACTTTTGCATCACATACCCGATATTTTGGATCGGTATTTTTATATACGACACTTTGGTGTATCGATACATTTCACGAGTATCGTCATATTTCGATCCGGACTGTGTCAGAAAGAGTAACTAATTTCAGATCACTTTTCTTCTTGGTTTTCTTCCGCTGGATATCGGTAATTTTATTCGAATATTTTAGAGTGTCGATACTTCCTAAAACAATAAGGATCGATACACAATGATACTTTTCGTGGATCTAAACATCCCTAATCTTGATAGCTTGTCAACTGAGCTGCAGGGTGAGGTGTTGCCTTTACTGTCTTACATTTTGTTAAAATCTTATGACAAATAAAAGCTTCAAATGAAATGTTGACGAATATGAACGGATATGTATAGAATTTGGAATATAAATTCATATTGCAAATTTCAGATTGACTATGCATGGACTTGAACCGGATTTTTCGGTATTTTTACCGAAAAGAGAATATTTACCGATAACATCATTCTCCACGATTTTTCAAAATAATTTAAATATTTCTATACTTGCCGAAAAAGAGCTGAAACCAAAAATAAAGCTAAAAGTTAATTTTATTGAGTATTCATAGTTTTATGCCCCATATCAATCATACATAATATGCATACATACTCAGGCAGTCGGGCATATGAGAGGCGAAGATTTGCGTTGCCTATGATTACGAACGCACTTCCTCATCCCTTACTCCGCTTGCCCTGAATTGATTTTTGTGCATAAAAAAGGTGCAGACTGGTAGATTACCGTCATTACCTCATCACCGGACAAGCAATGAAGAAACCGAAACCGGTCTGTTTTCAAAATAAATATTTAATTAAAATGAGAGGTGAGTTCAGGGGTAAAACAAAAATATTCACAATCTCAGAAGCAGGAATCGAAAAAGGAGTTTCCATAATGGTTGCAAATTACTTTGAAAGAGAGACCAGTATGCACATTGCAGAAGTTGTAATATAGAACTATGCCCTCAAAATGTTGTTTGCGCGCCCAATACAATAACAGAGGATTTTCATGACTCAAAAGTTCTTGATCTACCACTGATCTTGGGACGGCATTTACCTTAAACCGAACTCAACGACACTATTTACCGATTCCGTTTTTTCCGGTCTGGCAACACCACAGATTACTTTAAAAGGAATTGATATCCCAGACGTGTTATAATTATAGAAATAATAAGAAAATATAACAATGTTTGGACATATATTTTCATAAATAGGTATTTTTGATTCTTATAATATCCGATGAATAATAGGTGGATGAGGATACTTTTTCAAATATGGATGCTTTAGGATCCAGAAATGCAGAATGTGCTGTTTTTTTACATTTGGTGTGGATGTCTAGATCAAAATTGTTTCTGATGTGACAAAAGATGATGAACCAGTTGGAATACGTTTTATATCCTTTTTTTTGCAAAATAACAAAAATCGGTACATCTCTACAGGTACACATTATGTACAACACCCTGTATGTGATATACAGGCAAAACTAGATTGCCATGCATGAACAGTCGTCAAAAACACTGAAAACATCCTACAAAATATAATAGCTAGAAAATCGACCTATTATTTGCCGCATTCCCATTGGTCCCACTTAAATAACTGACCGTTTTTTCTGAAATAATAAAAATTTTAAATTCTATGAAAGTTGTCCTAATTCTAAAGCACAACGACGTAATATTATATCTATAATGTACCCTTATTTATAAGGCAAGCGTTTTTTCACGACTTTATTCAACATTTCAATAGAAATCACTGATATTCAGAGAGCTTTGACAGCTTCTGTCAAATTGCATTTCGATAAGGTCTTTTCCTATTCGTCCAAGGGATCGTTAAATATTAATGTTGGTGAAAGTGGCACTAGCTTTGCTTTTAGCTTATTTCTGTTATAAAAAACAAATAATTATCTTACGACTCTTATAAGCTGGCATACAGGAAACCGATTTGTAAGTCAGTGCCGTTGGCTCCTTAGAAGAGCCACAAAAATCTTCTTATTAAACAATAAACTTTAAGAAAATACCTCAATAACTGATTTTACGAAGTTATACTATCAAAATAACAAATTAACCATTATAAGGCTTATTGGCTCCTCGGTAAAACCAACCGAAAAGAGGTGGCAGTCAATGTGTTAATCAATAACACAGGCCCACAAAACAAAAAGTTGTATGTGCCTGGAGTCCCTCTATGTTCACTCCATGTACGTTTTCGCGCTGAACACGAATCTGAAGTCAGTATTGATGCGTCACTGGGCAAAAGAGAAAACGCATAAAAGCTATAACAATCATAAAACATGACCTTAAAAAAAGTGGTATGTGCTGGCGGTCTTACTATACTTTTTCAATGTATTTTCCTCAGTTAACACGAATCTAGAGTCATAATTGAAGATTGCTGGACAAATAAGGAAGTAATTCAGACAATGTCAGATTTTGACATTTACGTTGGGAGTGCATCTCTTTATAGAACTCTCGTAGATGCACATCCACCAACAACGACAAAGTCAATATGTTATTACCCAAGACCTGCAACAGAAAGGTCAAACCTACCCCGAAAACAAGGAGGGAGTAGTTAGATGTCGCGAACAAGTACACTCACTGAGAAATTATTTTAAAGGAACTTCTTGCACAGATCATGGCGCATGCAGATACCTACCTATTCGCCTCTCAAACTCGCAGACACTTCCTTCAGTACACCAGTCACAAGAATTCAGAATAGACAGCAAAACTGGAAGTGCAAAGCACCCTACAGTAAGTGTCGAGTAAGAAGGGACTTGCATGCCAACATGAGGTTTTCATAAATTGTGGCATTGGATTGCATACTATGTATTATATATATTATATGAGAACAATCAACAGAACAAAGTCGTCTTATGTCGAAGGGGAGATACCTGTATAAAGTATTCATATCTAAGGTACAGGTACACAATGTTCACAATTTCTAAAGGAAATCTTATTATATAATGTGAACGTTTGTCAATTGGAATTTGATGCTTCAGCGTTGATTGTAATTAACGTTTCTTCAACGTAGTTAAACAGCTTGTACACTCATAAATCTATAAATAAATCTCATACATAACTTTCGAGCCCCCTCGAATTGATTCTCATCACTTTTACACTTCAACGTGTGTTCCTTAGACCGTAATTACATACTAATGTCTAAATTACTTTTCTACTTGACCAAGCCCTCAATTCTGACTTGAGATTCGTGTTCAGGGTGAAGGTGTAAACGGGGAAAACATAGTGAGACCCCAGGTAAGTATTACTTTTTTTAAATTATGGGTCAGTGTAATTTTTTTCAAATAACACCATGTAATACAGGTTTAGCGCAGAAACATCGTATGTTCGGGACTTACGTGGGCTTTGGCACGCGCTAGTCGACGGTGGGTACCTACTTAAATAAGTCCTTTCAAAAACAGTACCAGCATTCCTTGATTGTTTTATTTCCATATGCACAGAAAATGTCAATTTCAAATTCACTAACTACAAAAATAGGATTACACGTCTGATTCGTATTGCACGAAATCACTTGTTTATTTCAGTTTTGTCTGTAGCTCTGCCTCGACAATCCGAGTGGTACTTTCCAAATTATAGATGAGTCAAGGATTGGGGAACCGACAGACAGACCGCTGGAAA